AAACATAACCTCACTTTTGCAATAACATTTCGCTGTGATACCAAACATTTAGTAATTTTCTCGAAAAATAATATCGAAATGCAGAAAAGGCACGAAAATGATCATAAACTACGCGTGTACGAGTCATCGAAGCCGTCCTTCGTGTGGCACTGTTCGCGTGACTAATTTTAAGAATCGCCCGCGATTCCGCCGGCCGTGTTGGAGGACACCGCGCGGAGCCAGCGAACGCGGTCCTTAGGACTCCCTTAGATGGCAGCATTTTTTCAGCGGAATTGCCCACGGAGGCCGAGAACGGATCACCTGGCAAGGATACACTTCCTATTAGCGCCACCGTGGCCGATCCGTATATGGCTTAAGGCGTATCTCGCGACGCGACCGGTCGGTCCCGGCCGAAGGTCATTTCCGAAATACTCCGCCACGGGGAACACGGACCGGTTGCGAAATGGAACTTGCTGGATACACTACAGCCGTTGAGACGATTGGCGTGATCCCTTTTTAGGTTTGTTTTTAAATGCACACATTGAATGGTAGAGCTTTCGACCGGTTAGGTTAGGTTAGGGATATGTATTTAAAGCGCGAGAATAATGGGACATTATTTGTTCGATTCTATTGAATATTAATAAGTGTATTATTAATTTTTAACAAGAAGAAAGTTACTTTAGAATTTATAATGCTATATTATAGTAAAAAGAAATTGAAATCAGAGTGTCAGTGAAAGTAACATTTCTACACGTTGTAGAACATATTCCATAAAGATTTACAGTCCAATTTAATAGAGAAACGTGGTATCACATTTGAAGTGAAGTTGTCGGATGCTTAATAGAACGACGGACGGCGATCCTGAGTGAACAAATAAGAACAAATGTCTCGTTATCACTCGACATACGCGATAAAAGTAGCTCTGTTCTCCCGCGAACCTCATGAAATTTTTATGAGATTTCTTTATTCCTGTTCGAGCCAGGCATATCGGTAATGGAAACTCGAGCTAGAATCGTTAAAGAGCGCACGGTTATCCTTACATAGGTGTCCTCACTGACCGGCCGCGTTGCCGCCTCAGTAACCGCCACTTCGTTAGGTGTTTGCACCCACAGATCGTGTAGTTACACTATTTATATCGATCTGCCGTGTTTTTTTCCTCTCTGCACCGTATTAGGAACGACCGGCAGCATATCGTACCTCCGGCTAATTCGAAGTCGCCATCTTGGGTGACATGCAAAACGACAGGAAGATTTATCTGATCCTCTGGGTGATACATTCGCAGGTTAGAATCGTTAAATACGGTCTGAATAATTCCCAGACGGGAAAAACACGCACAAGTCGGTTTTTTATCTGAGCAGGAATTGGATTGGTACACAACCTCGACCTACTTAGAATTCTAACCTAAATCTAGCCAATATCTAACCTAGACTAAATGCAAAACTAACCTAATTGTAATGTAACTCGTGTATAATCAAACTTCAATCCAAATTGTAGGTACACTTTGATTTAAATAAAAATTCAATCCTAAACTATCTGAATTTCGATCTGTAGATTAACCTATAATCTATTATGACTACTCTGTACATAACCTAGACCTAGAATTATATAAATATCATTCTTGATACATTGTCCACTATCTTTTCATCTTCAGAAATGATGCAATCATTCGAATGTCATTGTTCGAACGTCTTTATTCTTCATAGGATCGAATTATATTCCGTAGCGAGTTCAGATCGATCTCGACCCGATCGGTAGGCCCTCTATGAGGCAGATGTAGAAGATAGGTTCGCGACTGATGAGATGCGTCAAAGAATTCTAAAGGCTAGCTCGTTCCGGGTTGAAAATAATCGAGTACGGTCGCACGAACTTTTGACCTGCGGCGTATGCGCGTCCGCCAAAAGAAGAACGACAAAAAGAAGTGCGAACCGCGACTTTGCATACCAGTTGGTCGCCATGGAGCATGCCGGAAGACGGTCCTCTGCTTCGTAAATGTCGTATACTGTAAAGAAAGTAGCCTAGTCTCGCTTGCTAGAACGAATCGATTATCGATGTCATTTTTCCCTCGATCGTTTACGTACGATACAAGGCAAATGAGAAAATGATTTGTGAGGTTAGAATGGTTTATAAACATTTTTTTGCTTGACGAGTTTGGTAGTGGTGACTTTCTTAGAAAATTTATTTCGAGAGGTTATGTTAAGTGATGTTTGGTTTAGAGGTAGGGATATTCAATTTAAAGTGAAAATTCTGTAACACCTTGCTCGTGTCGGCAAGCTTTCATCAAAGAGTAATGCTGAAAGATTGCAAAATTACGATGGTAATTTGAGAAATTGCAAATTGGTGTCGATCTAGTTTCCTCTGACATTCCGCGTGGCATCCTTCACGCGGCGTAACTCTTCCTCATTCTTCATTCTCCTCCATAACCATCAAACACATGTACAACAACGTTACAATGGTCGTGTCTAATTTAATGTTACGTAACTAACCTTTCCTTTACATCCTTCAGAACATTAAACGTTTATTTTTATGAAAACATAATGGAACGTAAGATAACCTGTATTTAACTTGAGTATAAGTATAATAACAGTAGGATAGTGAACAAGTAAATTATTTGGATTTTTCATAACAAGATTATTTTCTTATTCTGAATCAGTATACGAAATGGACAAGTAAATTCATCCACCCCAATTATAACAGGTTAATCCGCAACGAGCGATCTTTCGCGAGACAACGCGACCGTAGCGACGCTTCCCACGGCGTATTCCACGACAGAGTGTTCACGTCGCAGCGTCGCATTCATCATTCCGCGCGTACCCCCTTAACCATGAAGCAATAAGTTACTGAAAGCGGATCAAAAAGAAGGCGGCGACGCGCGCTCACTCGCGTGAACTGCTACACCGCTACACAGCTCTGCCTAATTAACATACTCCCGAACGAACCAGACCGATTTAATATCTTCTTTTAGCCGTGGCCACGGAGCTGACACGAGGCTACACAGGGCCAGACCGGTCCGTGCCGTTTCCACTTGTCGCAGCGCCGCGCCACGGCGAATAACAAATCAACGAGCAAAGTAAAAACGTCAATGACTGTTTGCCACGATACAGCGGGTTACACGGCTAACAGACCAACTGGGCCTGTTTGCAAACAAGTTTTTCCACGTACCGCTGACGTATTATCCTTGTGCGTATTTCGCGAGTTTTGCTAGGGTTCCTTTTCAAATTTTCTGCTTTCATATTTTCTAACCCTTCTAGAGTACATTCGTGAAACTGTGGTAAAAGATAGGTTAAAGCTTACGGTGTGATATTTGTGTAAAAATATTTGTATATTTTTATGTTTCAGGAAATAAAGAGATTATGGAGGTGTATATAATTAAATGGAATTAAAGAAATATATTAGAATACCCTTCTGAATGATAAAATTCTAACCAAAGACATATCACATATTTACGTGAAACATTTTCTAACCTCAAAGGTGAGCGTCTATTATTTTAAGTACGTCAATTTTATTCATTAATACATCGATGAGGTTAACTGGTAAATAATTTTCAATTTCGCGTTATAAACGACATGAAATCGCCGAGACAAATTGGCCAGGCGACGGATTCGAGTATCACGAGCGTCCCTTTCAAGATGGCGGGACTATTTCGCGAACCGTAAAATCGCGCTAACGAGCGAGTTATCGTAAAATTTTTATTACGTTTGACGAGAGGGAACGAGGGCGTGAGTATTTTGCATCGGAGCCACAAGGAACGAGACGTTCCCAAGACCGATCGTTCCGAAAAGATTTATACTCTCGCGTGAAGGGTACGCGAATTTTGTAAAGTATTGCTCTTTACGAGAGAAAAAACGTCCGGTTCCGTGTTTACGGTTAAAAAATTGCCGCGTAAAACGAGCAAATGGACCCATTACCTCGCGCCATAATTCCCTCTTTTAACTATTATGCACGTTTGCAAATGAATCACCGCCGTAATAGTGAAGCATTGTCTCTTTATGTTCCAGGAGAATCTGTACAAGATGTTTCATTTTTGGAGAGCTTGATTTCAACATTTGGACACTTGCACATGTAAAATGATTATAATGAATGAACAAGAAACCAAACATAATCTCCTTCATTTCTTTTTCACCAAAAGAAAGTTCATATGCTACAATATACAATCACTACACTTCTTCCTAAAGTTATAATTCTAAATTTTCTGTCAGTGTTTTTTATTTCATTTTAAAATTCCAAGAATCTATGCTCCATGTGAACCGTTTAAACTAAATAAACAAGGTTAATCATCAGATAGTGCCACCAGCTAAGAAAACTAAATATAACCTCTCATATTTTTCCTATAAAGAAAAAATAACTTCATGCCATATGTCAGTTTCATATATACACGAAACAAACTTTCACCACCTTTTTCGCAAAGCTCTGATACCTCCCCGCTCACATAAACCTAACCTGTCATCAACAAACATGTACGGCAATCGAGCAACGTCTCCGCGTCGATGATGTCTTCGTCAGATTGAAAGAGGGGGGGAACTTGAATCGGTCCAGAATGATTCCTTTTTTTAAAATCACCAGTGACCCTCGCGAGAGCTAATTCTAGGCAAGATTATGGTGGCAGGTGAGCCACACGGAGGCTTTATACGGCTCGACACGAGGACTACGTCCCGAAATGGCTGGGCCAAGGTTCGACACTTCCGCGTGTCCCTTCTTTCCTTCCCTCCTTTGCCTCTTGATCCTCCTGTTCCGCGGAGTTTCGCGCGCCCGTCATCGCGCGAATCGCTTCACGCGCCAGGACCTTCGATTGCCATATATGCGTGGTCGCGGCGCCATACGCGCGCGCTCGTGTCATCGTGTCGCGATGACGATTAAGCTCGATTAAATCGAGTCGCGCCAGCGTCGTCGTCCGTGGAGACGCCGCCATGCAGAAATAGCCCGGCAAACTTTAGTCAGCCTGTTCCGCGACAGACGCGAGTGCCTCAGGCGGAACTTGCGCCTCTGTTGACAGCGTGTCGCGCTCGTGACGCCGATGTTTACCGTTGGTGGTCCTCTGGAATCATTTCCCACACTTAACAAGCCTGAAAAGATAACATTTTCTACGAAGGCTTAGAATTGGATGAAAAAAATTGTACTAGATTATTCTTAAATTATTTAGTATACATACATCTTTTGTGTTCAATCGAGGAATGAGCATGAGAAAATAAAAAAATTGCAGTATCGCAACTTTATGATTCTTCATTTGACAGTTTTCCAGCATAATCCTAACCTATACGTCCCAAAAGATAAGAATAACTCATTATTAATCTGACATAACCAAAACAATCAAGACTACGGAGACATATTCGAAAAAAATGGCATAACCTAAAAGGGACCGTGATGTGGCGAAGCTACTTTCAAGATGTAAATCAGTATAACGAATCGGAGACAGAGTTCAAAGCAATTACTCGATCAGCGCACACTTTCTGCGACTTGGCAGGCATGACCGAGTGATTTGTCGAAGCGAGACGCTGGTACCTGGCTGCACGCGATGGATTTGCGTGCGAGAAAAGTGGTCTGCGTCGAATGAAAACGGAAACGTCGTCTCGCCAGTGGTGCTCGTTTGTATTTATTACGGCTGGAATATTCACACATGTACTCTGTATACGTATGTATATCGCGCGACGAAATCGAGGCGTGCCTATCTGGCGCGTCGGGCATGCATCATCGACGTCAATCACGACGCAACACGACAGTCCGATCGAGTGCATGCAAATAGTGAACGATATCGTCGGACGGTTAATTAACAAACACGATAGAGAACGAACGTGTCGTGGAAATCAATTTTTTCCCACATACGAGCTTCAGAAGTTGTACTAATTAGATCAGCTGCGGTGGAATTCTTGGATACAGGTGAGAATCTTGGTTGACATTTCACTGAGTTGCCGCAGCTACATATATACATCTAGTTTTGGAAAACTTGAATATTCATGGTCGAATTACGTGTTCGTTAAGTACCACTTTAGATATTATTTTTTCAAAGTAACAAGTTCACAGGAAAATCATTTACAACACACGAATAGTTTAGGTTAAGTTAGAAAGCATTAGGAGATAGGTTAAGTTAAAAATAAATCACGTTGACTATGTAATTAAGTCAAACTGAACTAGATTTATTAAATATAAATTACGCGAAATCAAGTTTTACATAACCTAATGATAGGTCTCGGTTACACTTACAGCACCACTTAGCACCACCTAACTAAAAACACAAGTACCCAATTTTTTAATCAGCCCATGCAAGATTGGAGCGTATTCCGCCAGCTTTCGATACCATTTACGATACTCTTAATCCTCTACCCCTACTCGTATCACAGTGTTCCGGGTCTCTCTCTCTCTCAGGAGGAAAAATCGCTCGAATCAGCTTCCTACGATCTCCTGGGGAACCTGTTATTAGCACACCGAAGTCTGTAGAAAACTGGGTCTTCGATGTCGACATCCGGCCCCGGTGACCAGATTACGATACGCTTAGGATATGTTGCCTAAAAATTCCAATCGCCGCGTGGGCCGACGGCGTGTTTGTTAGCGGTTCCTCGGTGGATAACAGCACATAAGCTATACCTGCGCGCGCACTACCGCGAGTCATACGCCATTGTTCCGTCTGTCAATTCTAATTGCGCGAACAACGCCAACGATATTCATTGAAATCTCGCTCGTTACCTCCGCTCGCTTGTTGAAACGCGTGGTACACGCCGACCGGTGTATTAATCATTTTCAGGCACCTGGCTACGAAGAAACTGCCCGTCTCCCCGTGAATTTCACCTCGACGCTGGACGACCTGTCACGGACCGCACGTCTTACAGAAGCATGCTTCACTGTGTGTATAACCTACAATCTTTGATCGGTGATAATTGTTGGTATATTTGGGATACAGGTTAAAGTAAGGATGCAGATTTGATAGGTTAACAGTGAAGTTGAGTGCTTCAGATGTGAGGAATAGTAAGTTGTAGTTTTCTGCTAACTTTAAGTTGAGGTTAGTAATCATAATATTTACAATCATGATTAATTAGGTTACCCGTAGGTACCTTTTTAGATGAGATCTAGTTACATCTGTATTAATAGATGAAAATTGAAATGTAGCTTGGCAAATTGAAAATAAATTAAACGCGTAACTGAATTACGAGTACGAAGGCAAACGTGTAAATCATGTATACATATACTCTCGAACGAGAAAAAAACAACGAACCACCTCTCCCTTTTCTTTTTTTAAATTGTTTTTCGTTTTAATCATTTTTCATTTACTCTGTATCCTTGTTGCGTGACGTGCAAAGCTTCCTTCAAGACACTGCAATTTACTGCGTCATCAATAAAACGCATAAAGGTTCATTACGAGCATGTGCCGACGTGTAATGGCGATTATTATTAATCATCGATCTACCATCGATCCGTGCCTTTTTAATTATAACTTATTTGCTCATTTACAATTTAAATTATCGTTTTCCTTTAAACGTACCCGCGTTAACGCTATTAATCATCATACTCCCCCCCGAAAAAAGAAAAGTTAACTTGCCATTTTTATGACCATCCTTCGTTCTCGAAAATTACAATTACAAATCAAAGTTTATCGCTAAAAGCATATTACGAACGTCGTTAACTTATAATTATCGAAGATAGTAAATGTCAGATTAAGTTATAAATACTGTATTTTGCAGTTATTGGAATCGTCGTTTCCGGTTTCCAGCGGCCACTCTGCACGCAAGCTGATGACTTTCTCGATGAGCCTCATCCTCGAAGGTCTCTTTAGCAGCTTGTTGCCACAGTCTGAAGAACTAACGCCACTTCTGCCGTTCAGACAGAGTCGCGGGCCGCGCCATTAACTTCTCATTAGCGTCGCGGCGCAACCGCGAAGCCGACGCTTTCCACGAAACCACGCTCCGACCATTCAGCCTCTGTCGTCGGCTGCATTTTCGCCAGGCAGATAGCTCGGGTCAACGTTTTAATTGGAAGGTCGTGAACTCGTGGCCACGGAAGTTCCTCCGCTTTATTAACGCGTTATAAAAAGTCTCTTATGCGCTTCATGATACACACTCCATTTGCTATATTTAGAATATACATTTCAAATACATTTGCGAATATTTTGTAATATTTATTAGCTCAGGATATTCTTAACGTTATTTTTTTTCTTTGTAATTTTGTGACTTTATCTTTGAGTGTATAATTATATTGAAATAACCTAACCTCACTTCCTAAACCACATCAAGAGAACCCTTTTGTACTATTTGATAGAAAGTATTCTCACTCGTTGAAGGAACCTCAAATTGTTAAAAAAGAATCCAGCAAAAGAGCAACAGCAAAAAAGGGTTTCACTTTCGTTTTAGTATTCAGATTCGATCAACAAAGGGGTGATTAGTCGCGATTAGTGTAGCTTCATGGACAATAAAACATTCGCTGACATAGCTTCTTTCATTTGTGAGTTAAGCGGGTGCCCTCTGGGCGATTGTAAATTCATGAGCATGGGTAAAAAATAACTTGTCGGGCAACGCGATCGCCAGGTTGTTTGCGATTTCGTAGGCCTTCACTCGAGCAAGGACCCCCAAGGCTGCCTGTTCTTTCGACCGATATGGCAAGCACGTAACCTACTACGAGCCTCATCCTTTACTGCCTGTCATCGACGACCCTGATAGTCTCTGTGTTCTGTGGAGAACTACGACCTCTGTTTGGACCGAGAGCAATGATTTTATAGAGGACAGAATTTCAACTATTTTTGGAATTCTTCATTGAATATGTACAATCAAAACAATTCAATTAAATCATGAGGTTCGTCTAGTCGTCTGTCTGAAGTGAAAAAGACGAATGCAGGGTTAAATTAATTTATGTATAAATATATTAATATAAAATAGTGCTGAATTATAAAATTTCGTTTAGAAATCTATATTAATTGATAAAAAATTCTGTATAAGAAATAAAACTTTATCTAGGGATTTTTGAAATTTTTCTTTGCTAACTTAATGCGATACATATCGATAATGGATAGGTGTTCAATTCAATAAAGTTCATAGTGTCACTTTTATGTAGTGAATAAAAACAATAATAATGAATACACGTTGGTAGATAATTCTAGAGTAAATTCTATTTATTTATTTTATTCTGTTTTGTACAAACATTGTTACCAAAGAGTTTTATTACTTTTTAAACGAAGGAGGTAATTACGTTGTTTAGGTTTTTATGGAGATCATAAGGAATCGAGGTTATTAATTAATTTCCATATCCTGCAAATAAAATATCATCAATCGTTCAACGTTACGCAGAATGCTGTTTTTCAATCAGCGGAAAAGTGGTTAAAGCGTATGAGGTGTCTATCGCAATACAAAACAACTAGAAACTCACCGGACTGTAAAAAGTATGTGGAAACGTCTGTCGTCCAGCTGTACCTGATGAAAGATTAACACAAGCATTGACTTTAAAAGAACTTATTAGCCGCGATTAATACCGCGTCTGTACGATAATAACTGTTATTCCCTACTTGCTGATCCTCTTATGCAAAATTATACGAATGTATTATTATTGATACAACTCGTTTCTCCACATCTTCTTATGTCATGACACATTCTTTGCAGCCATGCTTCACGGTAAAAACATTATCGTTAACGACGGACATCAAAACCATCTTCACCGGACCTCATTTCGAAAAACTTTATGTTCAATAAAAAGGTGAAGACAATTAATTTTATTTTTGAAATAAAACAAATTTCTAAAATTCAATTTTTACAGATGAATCTGCAACAACGTTTCAGCTTCTCAAATTTGTTTCCATCTGGATACAAATCACAGAATTGAAAACGCATTTGTAAGCAATCCAATCACCGAGCGAGGGTGAGTTCCTGTCTTCGAATGGAATACAAAGATGTCCGCGGTCGTCGAAGAGTGACGGCGTGTCCGGATTACGTAGGGACTATCCTCTGTCGTAGGTCTTCAAGCCTAGGTCTTGCTTCTGCGAGTAATCGACTTCCTTGCGAGCACACGAATCGAACTTTCTCGATGAAACGAGCGTGGCACGATTCCTTAGCCTATTATCATGTTAAGTCGATTAACAGGAGGTCGTTGACATCGATTTGTCGTAGGTCGAGTCACGGAAATGTACGTCCTTCATCCGCATATTTAAAACTAATAATGAAATATGTATCAACTGATCATTCTTGAGCTTTTTATGTGATCCAATCAGCTAAAGCTTCCTGTTCTTCTAAATCGGACCTGGGTTACTTAAGTAATCTTATTCGATAGAATTATATTGATTTATTGTATAATAAAACAATTCTAATCAAAATGATATTATTTTGTCTAACAAATTCATAAAATAATTTTGCCTAAATTCTTATTTTTCTTTGTCTTTTCTCTACTTGTAATATATATCATGTGCTATAATGGGTTTACACCCCTAAATGAAAACATAAATAAATACCAATAATTTGTGTAATTAAACTTTTCCCAAAT